AGATATTCTCTCTGCAAGCCTTCCCCAAATCATAGCCTCAAACTTTGGAATTATGAAGTCATGCTAGCTAGGATTATGAGAACTCATGAGAAGTAGCTTGGGGAGGCTCGAGTTTCTATATATTTACTATATGTTTATATTTACTCATTGCATTTGGCATCCAAAATGCATGTATCTCTCAATTTTATCCCAACAGTTTTCTGAGGAAGGTTGGTTGAGAATAATAGGCTTAATGTGGCTCATTGGTTAACTGGGAGTGTCAGTAACTTCAGCAGGATAGTCAGCCTTTCTCCCCACTGGGCCTAACTCAATGGGCCACAATTCCTGTGATCGTAGTACTCTTGAATCTTCATGCAACACAGCTTGGGAAATAATGTTCTTCCTTGATACCAACCAGTCATCTGTTGATTAATGGGAGGATGGGTAACTGGTTTACTTTCAGGATCTGATGCCAGTGTTGCCTTCTCCACAGGGTGGGCAAGTCTGCCCTGATGAACCAGTATGTTAACAACCGCTTCAGTAGCCGCTTCAGAGCCACCATTGGAGCGGACTTCCTCAGCAAAGAAGTACACATTGATGGCCGCACCCTGATCGTGCAGGTAGGCCTGATACAAGGCAGATTACTGACTACCCTTTGACATGCCTTGATCAATGTAAATGTTCTCTTCCCATCATTGAATAAGCCAACTTTGGTGTTACCAAGTCTATCTTTTGTATGAAACACTATATAGTCAAAAGAGAATCTTGTATATAACCCCTCATACGCAAACAAAATGGTATCAGCAAGCCAGACTGAATATCAAAAAATGATAAAGGGTAAGAAGAAATGCAAGTAAAAAACTCCCATAGTTTTCGGGGGAGGGGGAAGGAACCCACAACAGTCCAGTAATTAATCAGGTATTCAGTGTGCTCACAATGGTGACTGTTGAACTGTGGATGGCAGAATATTTAAAAGTTAAAACAAACTCAACTTTTTTGTTGTTTTGTGAACTGGGAAGCTCCACATTAAATATTTTTTGTGGAAAGATTCCACTTGTCTCAACTTGTAAGACAAAAAGAAAATGTGCTGTACATGTATGACTGTGATCTTCATCAGAACAGGCATGTATATTATCAGAACAGACATCCATATTTTATCAGATACCTCTAATATACAAAAGTGTCCTTGCTATAGCATTGTTTTGCCATTAGAAATATTCTTCAGCTGCTAGATGTACTGTAGATATACAGGTGAAACTCGAAAAATTAGAATATGGTGCAAAAGTTCATTTATTTCAGTAATGCAATTTAAAAGGTGAAACTGATATAGGAGATAGACTCATTACATGCAAAGCGAGATAGGTCAAGCCTTGATTTGTCATAATTTTGATGATTCTGGCTTACAGCTCATGAAAACCCCAAATTCACAATCTCAGAAAATTAGAATATTGTGAAAAGGTTCAATATTCTAGGCTCAAAGTGTCCTACTCTAATCAGCTAATTACGCCATAACACCTACAAAGGGTTCCTGAGCCTTTAAATGGTCTCTCAGTCTGGTTCAGTAGGAATCACAATCATGGGAAACACTGCTGACCTGACGGTTGTGCAGAAAACCATCATTGACACTCTCCATAAGGAGGGAAAGCCTCAAAAGGTAATTGCAAAAGAAGTTGGATGTTCCCAAAGTGCTGAATCAAAGCACATTAATAGAAAGTTATGTGGAAGGGAAAAGTGTGGAAGAAAAAGGTGCACAAGCAGCAGGGATGATCTGGAGAGGATTGTCAGGAAAAGGCCATTCAAAAGTGTTGGGGACTTTCACAAGGAGTGGACTGAGGCTGGAGTCAGTGCATCAAGAGCCACCACACACAGACGGATCCTGGACATGGGCTTCAAATGTCGTATTCCTCTTGTCAAGCCGCTCCTGAACAATAAACAATGTCAGAAGCATCTTACCTGGGCTAAAGACAAAAAGAACTGGTCTGTTGCTCAGTGGTCCAAAGTCCTCTTTTCTGATGAGAGCAACTTTTGCATCTCATTTGGAAACCAAGGACTCAAGAGTGGAGGAAGAATGGAGAGGCACACACTGCAAGATGCTTGAAGTCCAGTGTGAAGTTCCCAGAGTCTGTGTTGATTTGGGGAGCCATGTCATCTGCTGGTGTTGGTCCACTGTGCTTCATTAAGTCCAGGGTCAACGCAGCCGTCTACCAGGAGATTTTGGAGCACTTCATGCTTCCTTCCGCAGACGAGCTTTATGGGGATGCTGACTTCATTTTCCAGCAGGACTTGGCACCTGCCCACACTGCCAAAAGTACTAAAACCTGGTTCAATGACCATGGGATTACTGTGCTTGATTGGCCAGCAAACTCACCTGACCTGAACCCCATAGAAAATCTATGGGGCATTGCCAAGAGAAAGATGAGAGACATGAGACTGAACAATGCAGAAGAGCTGAAGGCCGCTATTGAAGCATCCTGGTCTTCCATAACACCTCAGCAGTGCCACAGGCTATAGCATCCATGCCACGCCACATTGAGGCAGTAATTGATGCAGAAGGGGCCCAAACCAAGTACTGAGTACATACGTATGCTTATACTTTTCAGAGCTCCGATATTGTTCTATGTACAATCCTTGTTTTATTGATTTCATGTAATATTCTAATTTTCTGAGATTGTGAATTTGGGATTTTCATGAGCCATAATCATCAAAATTATGACAAATCAAGGCTTGAACTATCTCGCTTTGCATGTAGTGAGTCTATCTCATGTATTAGTTTCACCTTTTAAGTTGCATTACTGAAATAAATGAACTTTTGCACGCTATTCTAATTTTTCGAGTTTCACCTGTAGAAATAATAGTAAACATACTTGCTTCCCGCTTTCTTCATTCTCTTATTTCTACAGCTATACAGTATAGCAATCTCAAATAAGCAATAACCCAATTCTTGGAAACTTCAGCTTTAGTATCTAAACTAGCTTAGCTGGCTATACTGGCTGTGGCACATGGAAGTTATGATACACCATCTCTGGAAGGTGGGTCTACTTAAAAGTGCTTATAGTTTACACCAAGGGCTTTATAGCTGTTGAAGCAAAGGAAGCAGTTCAAGCAAAACTTTCATTACATGTGTTGTAACCATTATCTGAGCTAACATTAACAACTGCCACATGCCAGAATTTATCACTAAATATCAAAACTTGGAATCACAAGCTAGCCTTTCATTCATTTTTAAAAATATAAAGAAAGCTAGAGCACTCAAAAAAGGTGTAACATTCCTAAAGTAAATATATCATCAGCTAATTGTCTTGAGGAGGTCTAGCTTAAGGTTGTCAAACTTGTGTCGTCACGGCATCGTCATGTGGCGTATCGCAACTTTTCCCCCCTTCACTAAACTGGGTGTAGGCATGGCCAGCGCAATGCATCCAGCCTGGGGGCTGCAAGTTTGACAGCCCTGGCCTAGCTTGACCAGTCTTAAGTGTATGGGGCCTTTCAAAAAAAACTTTTCATTCTGCACTAAAATGTTCATGGCAAAGAAAATTTAGCTCATCCTGTAATGATGCATTTTTCTCATCTTGCCCACTTAAATTCCTCAGTACTTGAGCAATCGGATCTTCTCTCTCTTTCTCCCTGCCTCAAGATCTGGGATACAGCTGGTACAGAAAGGTTCCATGCCCTGGGGACGGCCCTTTATCGAGGATCCGACTGCTGCCTGCTCGTCTTTGATGTCGCATCTCTCTATTCTTTCCAAGCCCTTGAGAAGTGGCACAAGCAGCTCTTGCTGCAGATTGAGCCAGAGGAAGAACCCACTTTTCCCATTGCCATCATTGGAAACAAGACTGACCTGGAGAACCGTGAGGTATATATCAGACACACTGAGAAGATAGATTGCAGCTACTGTGCAAAAGCTCATGTAGCGCCCAATTTAAGAACGAAGGGGTATTTTAAAGATGAGGAACAGAGCCTTGAATGAAGAATCTGGATAGGTTTTGATGGCAGAGGATGCAAATACAGAACCTATGGAAGAGGTTTTACATTTGTAGGTTCTATTTTTAGTTTAGGGTTGCAGACAAGACTGGGAAGAGGGCAAAGTATGAAGGTATCCTGTCTTTTAAACAGGTTTCTTCAGAGGAAGCTGAAATGTGGAGCAGGCTTCATGATGCTACCTACTTTGAAACCAGTGCCAAGACAGCTGCCAACGTGCAGGAGGTGTTTGAATGGGCCATACGGGCTGTACTGAAGAACGTAAGGAATGCATTCCCTCCATTTCCAATTTTAAAAGCTTTAAAGCATGGCTATTCCTTTTTATAACTCCTGGATAACCCAACTGTGTGCCATCAAAATATGCTAGCAAAATCAATACGTGAAACAGCTAAAGGCAGTTAGAATGCCTTAGGCTGAAAAAAATATTAATACTATTAAATAATATGTTGCCTCCAGCCACAACAGGTATTACCTATGCTTTTAAGACTACATTCTTCGTGACAAGAAGCAATTCCTACATTAAGGCAGCGCTATGTATCAGACCTCTTTTCTGACTTGTGCTCATCACCTTGTTTCATTTCAGCGCAGGGTATCTGAAGAGCCACAGCTCAACTCTGTTCACCTAGAGACGAGGCCAACAGAAGGGACACATCGGGAAAGGTGTGGCTGCTGATGAGCCCAAATGCAGATGGGAAGATTTTTCACTGCAGATCTTTGACATGATGCAACGAACAAGAACAGAAAGTTACCCCATAGTGCAGTAACAAGTCTGTCAACCCTGCAGCCTGCCACTTTGATAGTTGGATCCCAAGATAAGATTTGTGGCCTTCTAGAAAAGAGCGCCTTATAATTGAAGGACCTAGATTGGATGTTGGATAGTCTTCATCCAAACATATGGAAATAAATCTCAACCTGATACTTTCTGGTGACAGAAAACGGGCATTATCTAGTCCTTTCATAGAGAAAAGGGCTATATATAGAAAATTTGACCACAAACACGTTGAAGGGAGAAGATGAGGGAAAGAGCTCTTTTTCCAAACAGCAAGTCTTGTTTCCAAAAAAAAGTCTTTAATTGTTCAAAATAGCACAAAAACGACAGATACGCAGCACTAGGGGGGGAAGGGGAGGTCAGGGTGGATAGCCAGGGTAAACTCCTATGAGGGCTGTTCCTGTCTCGGTGGAAAATAAATTGGGTCAAATATAGGAAGGACAGAAGGAATCTTAAGGACTGAACAGGAAAGTGGGACACAGCGAAATATACTATAATACAAAAGACCAGGGCACAGAGCAAGGGAGAGGTTTGCTCATGGGGGTATTTTCTGAGGGCTAGTTTGTCTACCAATCTCAACACAGCAAACAGTGCGCATGGGGGGAGGCATTTCTTCTGTATTCCATAGAGCTCCCCCAACTCTACAGAGTAAGCCCTGTTGCTTTCCCCACCCTCCCCTATGTGGAATGTCCCAAGACAACCAGTGGGGGAAAGAGGGGAGGGGGCATATTTTTCTCTATAGAGAAACCTAAACTCCTACCCCATACAGTGGAGACTTGTATGTCAACCATCACGAATATCGCCCTCCAGCCTTGCTCTGACCCAAAAGCCTCTGGTGGATCAGCTACATTCTCCCTCCCAAATCATTTTTTTCCTAAAAAAAGTTTTATACAAAACAATGGAGAGGAATGGCAAGACATCTGCCTACAGCATGCCACCTTGTGGCCTGGAGGCAGGAAGAGCAAAGAGAGAAAACAAACCTGGCTTGTGCTGCTAAGGAGGGGCTGTTCCATGTACAGGGAAAAAAAGAGGGTGGATTCAAGCCACAAACACCCTGCGCTGAGCATTAGAACAGCTGCTGTAGCATGAGCCCCTTCCCTCCAATGTTCAAAGTAGCTGCATCTGTGGCCAACCATGTCACATCTTCTCAATCCCCACTAGCAGGGACTTCTCTCCATTACCAAACGCAGACACTAAAAACTAAACTGAGGAAGAGGGTCTGTACAGAGGCAAGAACTGGAGGCAGGGAGATCAAGTCTCCTACCCCCAACACACAGGATTCAGGGGAATACAAAAGAACTTCATTCCTGTAACTGCAACTTGTAAAAAAACCCAACAGCCCCCTCCCCCCATAACAAGTTTTCCCTCAAGCCCACCCCAAACATCAATGTCCATGTTATTGGGGCAGTAAGCAGAGGGTGAGGGAGGAATTCCATTCCTTCTTCCCCCTTCCTAGGTGGGGTATGGCACAGTGATGGCCCTGCTTTGGGCTCCCTCACATGAGCCTCAGCGTCTCTTCTCCCTACCCCCCCCCCACCCCAACAGTTCATCCCATGGTGTATGAAATGTGCTTTCGGCAATTCCATCTTCCTCCATACACGGGGTGACTGGCTGGCTGGGGAGTTCAGGCAGAGGCTGTGGAGCAGGCAGGAAGAGGGGACAGCTGGTGACTCCCTTCACTGCCCATCTGCTTTGGGCTTCTTTGGAGCACTTTTCCTGGAAGATGAAAAACAAACACTTAAGGTCCAATTCCCTGCTTGGCCATGAATGCGATGCTCTTCTTGCCCAGAGTACTGACAACATTCAAATTTTCATTCCCTGGAATTGTCCACTCCCATCAATGGCAAGCAACCAACTTAATCTTCATCCCACCTTTTTTATTTACAACTCAAAGTGGCTAATATACCTAATGCTCCTTCCTCTTCCTATTTTACCCACAATAACCATCTTGTGAGATGGTCTGGGCTGTGTGACTGACTAGCCCAAAGTCATCCAGCCAGCTTTCATGCATAAAGGTGGTCCAGAACTCAGTCTTCTGGTTTCTAAGCTAGTACATCTTAAATACTACACCAAACTGCCTCTCGGCTTCAAACAGCTGAGCTCCACAGTTGTAACTTTAGCATTATTCCTGTAGAGAATTTGCTGCAGCTGCTGCATGATTTGCTAGGCTGCTTATAGAAGAAATTCTATTCTAGCTGGAGGTCCCTCTTCCACTCTGCATAGACAACTAGTAACTTACCCCTTTATTCAATCTAGGGCTGACCCAAGATATTCCGATGAACACAAAAGAAAATTTATGAGGCATTTTTTCTCCCAAAATGAGTGGGCATATATGTAGATTTCCCTCTGTAACCCACCACAACTCTACAAAGGAAACATGAAGACTGAAATAATCAATACTCACAAATCAGAAGATGAAAGCGGCCGCTTGTTGGTTGGTTTTGTCATAGACCCATCTTTACTGGATTCTGTAAAGAAAAAAGTACATTACACACACTGAAGGCAAAGATAAAACATTGCCTGAAGCAAATTGAATCATTACAGGAATGTGAACTTGGTTATTTCTAAATCATGATACCCAATAGGGATAAAACTACGAATAAAATACAATTGAATGCTGACATGTGAAAAAAATGGGAAATTTTATTCTGATATTCAGTCCTTTAGTCGTACTATTAGAATTTGGCTTGCTGAGCATGTCTCTACCACAGAACTCAGTAAACCTATCCTCCCAAGTGCCATCTAGATCTCGCCATCTAGAGTGAAAATGTATTTTCAGTCCCAGCTGAAAATACATTTTCACTCTAGATGGTAAGATTATTAGACATATTAGAAAATCCAAACATGATACATCCCAGACTAGGAATTGGCAGAAATATCTGACCAATTCATCAATTCTTATTAAATTCAATAAAATAATATTCTAGAACTCTGAGACCTTCCTACTTCTACCCCCCCTCCTCCTAAGAAATATCAACAAAGATTCAGGCTGCAACTAAGAGGCAACATGGCAGGTTTTCTTCATTTGCATACCAAGGCTCAAGATGGGAAAGTGAATGGTGTGCAGATATTTACAAGAATCTGAGACCTGGTAGCAGTTCCTCATCTTGTTGACAGGTTTAGTTTAAAAAACCTGTCTTCCCAGTCATATGTGGCCTGAAGCTACATTCCTCCCTCCAATGTCCCATCACAGCCGCCACTCACCTTGAAGCCACCGAACTTGTGTGGCAGGACCATAGCCCTTCTCGTTGCGGGCAGCAATGCGGAAAATAATGGCAGGCTTTGTGGTGTAGTCTATATGGGCATTGGAGAGACTAGCTGACTGGACCAGGCACGAAGGACTGGGCCCACAGTAAACCCGCATGAAGGCCAGTTGGGCAGGTGCTGCACTCTTAGGTTCACCCGCCTGAGGACTCTGGATGGCCAGGTACACCGAGTATTCTGTGATTTTTCCAGAGGTGACTGAAGGTGGTTCCCAAGTCAAGTGGGCCCCGTCTGGACTCTGTGTTAGAAACACGCAAAAAGAGCTTGAAAACCACAACAGCCAAAAAGTATTGCAGCAAGAGTGGGAGACAACAAATGCAACAAACATTATTCAATTACCCCCACCCAAATAGGGAGATGAATTAACAGGACTTTAAAAACAGAAAAAGCTCTCACTTTACTGATTTTAATGGCACAAGGTGCTCCAGGAAAACCAGGCAGACAGGTCTTGAATGCTGAGATTTCACTGAAAGGGCCTCGTCCGCAGGCATTAATTCCTGCCACTCGGAACTTATAAGCAGTACCAGGCTGCAGCTCCTGCTTCTTGAATTGAGAATAATCAGGAGTAGTTCCTGAATCATCCTGCAGAGGACAGAAGAGAGTGGGAATAAGACATCACAATTATCTTCCTATCCATTATGGGAATGGATAGGAAGATACGTGGCAGCAAAAATTTGGATCTTTTAAGGTGAAGTTAAGGTGATATTAAGTATATTCTTGCCACTCACATCTGTAGCAGGTGCATCATCAGGCGGCAGGAAGTAGTGTGTCACCACCATGTTGGTTGCCTTGACAATACCCACATCAAACCATTGATTTTCCTTCTTCATAACCACTTTTGGAGGCTGTGTGGGAGGCTCTGGTTTCTAACGAAGAATGGATAATTCAAGGTGAACTTTGGAAAACTTGTAAATTCATTCCTTAAATTCCTACCAATATTTTTTTCTTACCACTGGAGCTGGTTCAATTCCATTAGCAACTTCGGTCAGGGCAGCTGCTGCCTGCAATTTCGCTGGGCTGGCTACTACCACAGGCTGTGGGGCCACAAAAGTATTTGAAGGAGCAAGACCTGGATGAGGGGAAAAAATTCAGTAACTTCCATGAGATCCCTGATCCCCAAAGATGTTGATCCATGTCTAAAACTGGAAAGGAAATACAGGCAACAGAACCAAGTCCTGATTTAACTAAAAGGCCCACCTTAGACAGAATTCCTAAGGGTAACAGATGCCTTGACAGGGCTGGAACATAAAATTATCCCATGATCGAATAATTGTGCTTATCCACCAGGAATACCCAATACAGCAGGATGTCAAACTCACATCGTCACATGACATTACCAGGACTTTCCCCCCCTTTGCTGGCATGGCCAATGCGTGACGCATCCAGCCTATGGGCCGGGAATCTGACAGCCCTGCAATACAGCTTTGCTCAGACACTCATCTCAAGCAAGGGAGGTGTCACAGCTCTCATCACTGAGCTGTGGCACCTCTGCTTACAAATGGAAACAAGCTTTTAAAGGCCGCTGCCAAATAAAATGGCAGTCATCTTTGCCTTACTTACTCTCTGTGGGAGTGGGAGGTAACAGCCCAACCGTGCTGGTCACTGCACTAGCCAACTCATTGAGGCCATTACTCTCACTGGCAGGATCATTGAGGCTATCAGCAGGAGCCAGGGCTTCTGTAGGCAAGTGGGCAGATAGTTGATGCTGAGGGGTCTGCTGCTGCTGCTGCTGCTGCTGCTGTTGTTGTTGCTGCTGCTGTTGTTGTTGCTGCTGCTGCTGCTGTTGCTGCTGAACGGCAGCGGCTGCCGCCGCTGCTGCTGCTTGAGCCTCCTGAAGCTGCTGTTGCTGCTGCTGCACCAGGGCTGCCAAGTCTTGCTGAGTAAGCACGATGGGGATAGCGGTGGCCTGTCCTTCAGGGCCCTCTGAACTCAGGTGGCCTAGTTCAGCCTGTGTGGCTGCTGCCTCTGAGGTATCCATGGCTTCTCCAGGACCTGTTCAAGAAAGAAAAGAGCTAAATCAGGCATGTCCAATCCCCAGCCTGTATGTGGCCCTGGACAGCTAATAATGCGGCTCTAGAGAAAATAGATAAGATAGATGGACGGATGGAGAAAGGAGAGAATATAGATATATATATAATATTTGTCTTCTTTTGCATATATAATATTGTATATATAATCATTTCTTTTATATATATATATATATAAAGATGATTATTTATATATACAATTTATATTATATATTTTATATATGGCCCAAGATAATTTCTCCTCACTCAATGTGGCCCAGGCAAGCCAAAAGACTCTTACGGGCTAAATGTTTACCGAAGACCCAAGAAAGTTAGCAAGATCTTTCACCAAGGACAGATCTGGCCGGCTCATGTGGTAAATGGAGAAGATTCCAGAGAGGAAAATGGAGGGTTACAAGTACTCACCCATTACAACCTGCTGGGCTGCTTGCAAGACCGCCTGGATGGCCAGGGCTTGTGCCTCTTCAGTGGCAGCAGCTTGGGCAGCCGCCTCGGCAGCAGCTGTTACAGCTAGTTCCTCAGGAGTCAACCCTGTCACCATCAGAGTGGTGGTGCCCGCCTGGCTCTCCGCCATCAGTTCCTGAGGCAATGCTAAATGCTCCACCTCTGAGGACGGCGGAGCTGCAGGAGTGGGCTGGGGCAGCACCACCATAGCCACAGACTCTTGGGTGGGGGCTGCTGGTGTGGGTGGTGCCTCTTCAGTAGGAGGGGCAAGTTCTGGATGGGGAGCAGTTTCACCCAGAGGACCTTCGGTTGGCGGCGTGCCAGTTGAGGCAACCTGTGCTTGCCCCTGAGGCTCAGGGGTTGCAACTGCTGACTGCATCTCTATGGAGGGCTGCAGTGGTTCAGAGGGTGCAGGAAGGGAATCTGTGCTGGTGGCATCAGGAGTCTCAACAGGGGGAACTGCCTCGTCTGCAGGGACATCAGTGAGCGAGGAGATGTTCTGCAACAGGAAGGATGGATAGAAAGGTGTAATGTGTGAATTCTGGACCAGGCAGCATTGAGTCTATCACAAACACTTTTTATACAAACACTAGGACCCAGGAGCATCTCCATTAGATCAGGTTGAAAGCCCGGTTAAACCAGCCGTCTCCACTGTGAAACCACCAAGTATCACTCCTCCTTAAATTATTTCACTGTTGTGGTTAATACCCCTTCTACAGCATTCTGCTTTTTTTCTTTACCATTATTCTTTTTTTCCCAAAGAATGCTGTTTCTCCTTTGAGGATTCTCAGAGATATATTTTTGGTAAGAGTTATTATAATGAGCTAAGTTAAACTGAATTTGGGAGATATTTATGTGCACACATATTTGTGGAAACAGCAGTATTTATATCCGGTAATGAATCTACAGAAAGTATTTGGACTAAAATGAGCCAAAAATTAGGAACTAGAAGATCGAACATTGCTTATCAGGCATTTAGACAAATCCAAGGCTAGAAAAATGGATTGGGGGAGGGGGGCGCAAAGGACAAATGAAATTTGAAGCAGAAATATTCAGATTAATGTGATAGTTCTGCATCTGCTGAATGAGTAGCAAACTGCCAACATTTTGTTTTCCCAGAGATTCAGCAGACTTAAAATCAGGAAAGGTTGCCAGGGATAACTCCATCCCCTCAAAGCACGCAATAGAATCATCTAGGGAATCTCAATTCTTGTCTGGAATGAACCAAAGAAAACAGGACACAAGATCCAGTTCCTCCTCCGATTCTCACCGGTACAGAAGGCCCTGGCGCTGGTGTGGACTGGGTGACTGTGGTGACAGCTCTGATTTGAGTGGAGGAAACTGTGGTCACCGCAGTAGCACTGGGGCTGCTGGCAGCTGGACTCTCAGTCACAGGTATCTCAGGTTCCCCTTGTTGCCCATTGGTAGCAGGTGGCTGATCTGCAGAAAGAAAACAGGTTACACACTGAAGACAAAGATTCAAGAGTCTTTGGTTGTGAGAATCCACTGGTTTTTCAGGATTTGGAACATCAGTTATTTCAAAAGTTCAAAACTTAAAACAAAATGCTCCATATTTTGGAATCTGCCCCCAACTTTGCTGCTTCATTCCATAATGAGTGCTTCAATATAGAAATAGGGACTTGAAGCTCAGCTTACTAACTGTAACTCATCCTAGAGTTACAAAATAGAGTGTGATAGATCAATTTCAGAATTATCTACTACCTGACTGAGAAAAACTGATCAAGTGGATATCTAAAACAACAACAAAAACCCCGTAGTTCTTTAGCAAACTTAAAAATGTTAGGTAAGCAGAAATAAGGATGTTTTTGAAACCTGCCTGCACAATGTTTAAGCCGACATTCCGAGTCAGAATGTTCATTTTAAACTTAATATAAAATACTGTATTTTTTCGCTCCGTAAGATACACCTTTCCTCCCCCAAAAGTGGGTGGAATTGTCTGTCTTATGGAGCGAATATTGCAGCTGGGCTGCAGCAGCAGGGTCCTTTTACAGTGCTGAACCCCGCCAGAGTCAGTAGGCAGAGCTGTTAAATGAGGACACCTATCTGTGGTCCTCTCAGTCTCCGCCTCCTGCCCTCACTACACTGCTGCTCCATATTCGGCACTCCATATGCACAGTGAGATGGCGCTCCAGAATCATGTTTTTTTCTTCGTTTCCTCCTCTAAACCTAGGTGCGTCTTATGGAGCGAAAAATATGGCACTTCTTTGTTTTGTGAAGAATTTTGTGGCATATTCTTACTGTTTGCCCATCTCATTCTTAGGTAGCAAGTTGTTCATCAGAGGACAGAATCTTTCTAGGGCCAAATCTCACAGACTTGTTAAAATTGAAGAAAAAATGCACAAACTTTTAAGCGAGGAACATACATGCTATAGAAGATTCTGGGCTATAGCTTGAATAGGCACTGAGAGATGTAAAGAATGCTATCCAGATAAACCCATTTTTCAGCAATTGTACTTTGTATGGGATGACTGACAGCAGTGAGGACAATATTTTTCAGAGATACTGGATTTAGTTTTATCTATCCCTCCAAAGAATTATGATGTCAAAGCAGCTATTATAGAGCAACAAAACTTCTGAATACATGCAGTGCTTGATTATAGTGATTCTAAAACAAGGATAAAAATTCTAAAGATAGATGAAGAAAAATTAACCCTAATACAACTTAGTAAAGCTTATATATTTTTGAGATACAATATATGATGCTACTATGAATTTCCACTTTCACTGCTTGCTAAGGAACAAGTGTGTCGGAGACAAACCAAGATACACTGCAAAAAATTCTGTAAAATTCTCCTATCTACACAAGGCCCATGCAAGGCCCTGATCACAAATTAGGCCTCACAAACATTTCGTGAACCATGTATCCTACATTATTCAGTTCATTTCCAAGTGCACACTTGTTAAGGAACAGGGGTAATTCAAAGAATATTCTCCTATACTATTAAGAGTACCAAGGAATCCCTGAGGTTACCCAGAGAAGTCTGAAAATCCCTATATAAGAACAGAACAGATGTTTCTAATACCCTTCCTTTGTGTTCTTTTACCTTGGTTGGCACCCATAGAAGAAGTAACTGTGGTGGCAGTATGGGTGGTTCCTGTTTCATGGGTCTCACAAGGAGGGTTTGAGCATATTCTGGGTGTTGAGCTCTGAGGCAAAGACCCAGCAATCCCTGGTGATTCTCTCTCAGTAGTTTTTCTCAGTTCTGAGTTCCCACATTGTGCTGATGCTGAGCTGGAAGACTGAGTGCCATCACCCCCTATGCTGGGTGTCATTGTGGTGCTGGTGGAGTTGGTTTGCTGCGTTTCACAGGGGGGTGTAACAGGGGGGTGTTGGTGCTGGGCACCTTCATTTTGTCCAGCTCCCAGGTTTGATGTGGTGGTGGTAGCGGTGTTGGTGGTGCCCGTTTCATGAGTCTCACAAGGTGGATTGAGCACACTTGCTGTCCCACAGCTATGTTGGAAGTCGCTGTGGTAGCGGTGTTGGTGGTGCCCGTTTCATGAGTCTCACAAGGTGGATTCGAGCACACTTGCTGTCCCACAGCTATGTTGGAAGTTGCTGTGGTAGCTGTGTTGGTGGTGCCCGTTTCATGAATCTCACAAGGTGGATTCGAGCACACCTGCTGGGTAGCACCCAGGTTTGATGTCGTTATGGTAGCTGTATTTGTGGTACCTGTTTCATGAGTTTCACAAGATGGATTAGAACACACTTGAAGATTTGTATCCTTGGTATCCGTGTTATGGGTCTTGCAAGGTGCACTTGACTGAACTGGCACATCAACTTTGACAGACATGGTGGTGCTGGTAGAGTTGGTTTGTTGTGTTTGGCACGGAGGGTTGGCAGATCCTACCCATTCGCCATCTGGCTGCCCTTGGCCCATGAGGGACCGAGCTGTGGTGGCAGTATTGGTGGTATGAGTATGATGGGATTCACACTGGCCTTTTTTCAGGGCTTGTAGTCTTTCACTGCTTTGCTCTGTGGTAGTGCCAGAAGCAACACTAGGCAAGCCAGCAGCTGGCATGAAGCTTACAATTTGAACTGCAGATGGATGCTCTGTGGGAATATCTGTTTTTGTTGTCATGGTAGTGCTGGTGCTACCTGTCTGCTTTGTTTGGCATGAAGTGTTAGTCAATTCCTTCTGTCCGTCATCAGGTTGCCCTTGGCCCATGTTTGAGGTGGTGGTGGTAGCAGTATTTGTAGTGCCAGTTTCGTGGGTTTCACGGGGAGGATTGGAACACACTAGCTGACCTGTACCTACGATGGCCTTTACTGTCATAGTGGTGCCAGTGGCATTGGTTTGGAAAGTATGGCATGGTGGCTCTGAGGGTGCCTTCTCTGTTTTGGAGATGGTGGCTGTATTGGTGGTGCCAGTCTCATGAGTTTCACAAGGTGGATTGGAACATATCTTCTGCCCAGCACTCAGAACAATGGTTGCTGTGTTGGTTGTACCAGTCTCATGCATCTCACAAGGAGGATTTGAGCATATCTGCACCACTCGACCATTGGGCTGGAGGCCACCACCGTCCTGCCCATCACACACAAACTGTAGCTGAGCTGGCCCACCCAAAGTGCCAACAACTGTGGTCGTAGCTGTGTTGGTTGTGCCAGTATCATGTGTTTCACAGGGTGGATTGGAGCACACCAGTGTAACAGTGCCTGGCTGTGAATCTCCTTGCCCCGGCTCAGCGATGGTGACTGTGGCTGTGGGCTGCTCTGTGGTGGGAGAGGCCAAGATAGAAACAGGCAAATCATGCACCGGCTGAGCCTCTACACCGCTCGGGGTTGTAATCAGGGTGACTTGAGTAGGCTGAGAAACAGGCTAGGAGGAGTGAAACAAATACACATAGGTTAGCAGAGAGACCTCTAGTCAAGAGACATATCTAAATCACATATAAGATTTACAAGCATGCTGTTATGCAGAACAGTTTGGCTAATTATATTTCAGGCTGCAGGCATTACAAAATATCGTATGTAAAGAAAATAGTTCTTGCACTTATAAAAGCTACAGCCATATCATGGAGAAATAGAATTTAATAACCCTCTGCAAAATATCCACGCAATGCATCTATACATGCAAGAAATATACTCTTGGAAATATTTAAAAATATATCTCCCAACTGCTTTAATTCTGATGCAGTCTAATGCAGAATTCTGCAATATGATTTTTAAAAAATTATTTTTAATTCCTTCGCCATCACTTCTCATTCTTTTTCTGCACTTTGTACAATATTGCTTACTCTGAAAGGGACTACAGTGTGATGTATATACACATGCATTTATGGAAAACAGCTCTAAGTAGGGCAAAAAAAAAAAAAAAGTGGGCATGAGGAATATTACAGAACTGATTAGATAGTAAAGGATGTGACTAGACCATGGAAGCAAACTTAAATTGTACTGCAGAGAACTGCAGAGTTTCACATCTGCCTTGAGCAGCAGAATTTTATATACTAGGATTGTAAAAGTCTGCAACAGGATTAAAGATGCAGATTAAAATAAGTACTTTGATATAAAGTAATTGGAGACACAGATCTTGATGAGATCTTGTATAGATGATAAAGATCTTGTAAAGAAGACCATGACTCATATTAGATAAAAAAAAAGGTGGGCAAGCAAATTGTCTAATCCCAGGACAAAAGCTCTCACCTGTTTCAAATGCTAGCTATACTTAGAGAGCTGCTCATGACATGCATGCTGCCTGTTTCAAATCAATACATGCTGATACCTAAGGTAACTATTAGGGTTTTTTCCCCCATAACCACAATTCTCATGACATCTATGAATTACAACAGAACTGCTACTTTGTACTGTTTTTAAAAAAGGGTATTGTATTGTAAAAACAAGTAGCCTGGCTCTCTAGAATTGCAATTCCATGGTCATTGGCCATGTCTGCTAAAATGATGGGATTTGAAATCCAAGACATCTGAAGGGTACCAGCTACCTATTCTTTCCAAACAGCCCACAGAATTAACAGGAACATCAAATCCTGGATAACAGTTAAAAGCCAATAACAAGCCTCAGAGAGGGAAAACCCAATTGTTTGGGTACACGTACACAAAGTCTCTTCCAACTACATCAAACTTGTGGCCTGCGGCTCAGATGCGTCATGTGCTGGCCCTGCCACCCCCACCCCCGGTTTAGCGAAGGGGAAAAAAGTGTTGATACATCACGTGACACAAGTTTGACACCCCTGAACTACAACCCCATATCATTTGCAGCTCCATCTAAGAATCTAATTTTCATATTTTGTTTCTAATAGCTATCAGTTTTCTTCCTATAGGAACCCTCTAAATACATAATCTTTTCTCTAACGACAATCAGACCCACTCCTATTACATGAAAAGTCTCAGCTAATAACCAATAAGACATCAATTTTTATAAAACAGAAACATCATTCTTTGAAACCACCTGTGTCAACAACTACCACCACATTTCATGTTGCAAGTTTATCATAGGCTATGCAGAGCACCACTCTGTGCATCATTTTGTTGGGAAACATTGCTTGCAATTTTTGACTAGGCCAAAACCATACCTGCATAGTGATGGTGGGAGTGGTGAGGCCTCCTCCTGCTGTCAGGGTTGTCTGTGCTGCTGAGACAGTGATGGCAGCTGGGTTGATGACCTGGCTGGAAAGTGTGGCAATGGTCCCCAAGGTGGTAATAGGCGTAGCCAAGGAAGCATTAGTATTGTGTGCTCCAGTTCCAGCTAGGCTTGTTGAGACCGTGCCTGTTACAGTGCCTAAGGTTGTAACTCCTTAAAAGATACAAAGAAATTATATATAACACACACACATTTTATATATTTATATTTATATATATTTATATATATGTATCCGTGTTAATTTCAGTAACCTTAGTACATTAGAAACATGGGTTCTGAAGTTCCTGGTCATGTTTCTAGGCCATATATCTATAGACTGGTAAAAATACATCGTTAGTAGGCCGGTTTTGCAGCACACGGGGGATCCTGCGAGGTATGAAGATGTCCATAGGCCCAAAAACTTATGCAACAGCCAATCTACCCGCTGGTGCACTATGGAAAGCAAATGCACTCACATAAACTAAATCCATTAATTCTTCCTCCAGCTTAATGCCTTTACCTGTTGTTCCTTTCACTACCAAAGTGGTAACAGTAGGCTTGACTGCAGACACAGTGACAGGGGTAACGAGTCGTACTCCACCCATAGGGACAGTTCGCAAGATTGTGCCTGGTTGTCCTGGTGCTCCCTTAAGCACTACCTATGAAAACACACATTTTTCATATTAAACTGCTGACGTCAAAATGGGGCTTCTAGCGTCTCCCAATCTGTCATTTAGTTCACCTGTGTCACGCTTTGCTGTCCATGACTTGTGGTTAATTTGGGTACTGCTGTAATGATCTTGGCAGGTGTACCAGTGCCAGAGGTCATCACTTTTGTGGTGATAATGGTGATGGGAGACTTAATCCCAGGACTACTAGTAACACCTGAAAATAAAAAGTAGAATATGAATACACACACACATTCTCTCTCCCCATCCCCAACAACCATGATGTGATCTCACTGGTTGCTGAACAACCCAATTGTCCACAGACTGAAACAGGATGATAACTGCTACGGTAAATCAAATTCCATTTCTTACCTGTGGCACCTGCTTGCGTAATAATAGCTGACATGGGGATGGTCTTGATAATAGTGGTGGTACCAGGCTTTGTTGTGTTGGGTGACACACTGCTGATGCCCAGGATGGTAGGCTTAGTACCTGTGCCACCTGCCTGAGAGCTGGTGATGATTGTGGTGGGCTTGCCATCTGCTGAAGTCACTAGTTTCAGAATAGTGCCAGCAGGCAGAGGCCCTTTGGTCTTAAAGAGGGGGGGGGGAGAGAGACAGAGAGAGAGGGAGAGAAAGAAAACACCAAGAATCAGCACAATGCAGGAAGTCTCAATATTCTTGCGTTCCACAAGCAGAAAATATACTAGAGCAGGGGTCGGCTACCTTAAACACTCAAAGAGCCACTTGGACCAGTTTCCTACAGAAAAAAAGCACACCAGGAGCAAGAAAACCTGGGTAGGCGTGGCCAACTCAATGTCACTCACTCCCACCGTCACATGACCACCTAGCCACGCCTACCCAGCCACAAATCTATTTTCTATGTCTCTCCCCCCCCTCCCTATCTCCCCCCTTTCTGTATCTGTTTGTCCCTCTCCCTATCTTCCCCCTCCACCACCCCCCGTATCTCTCTCCCTCTCTCACCCCCTCTCTATGTATCACTCTGTATGTGTCTGTCTCTCTCTCCCCCCTCTGTGTCTCTATGTCTCTCTCTTCCCCCTCCCTTCGGGCGACCAACCTCTCCCCACTCCTCTCGTAACTCCCTGGCCACTGTGGCTGAGCCGGGAGCATTTGCATGCGCAGGGAGACCCTCCTCAAGCGAGAAAGCGCACAAGAGTGTGCAGGGTGGGCGGAGACAGAGGGAACAGACAGTCTCTCCAGACTAAGAGAGAGAGAGAGAGAGAGAGTTGGAGAGTGCGGAGGAGAGAGAGAGAGAGAGAGAGAGAGAGAGAACACGCATGTGTCTTTCCTGAAGGTGTAACTTTAACTCTATTGAGGCAATTGAAAAGTTCATGTGGATGTGTAATAGTTGCATATAAGGAAGTCATGTGAATTGCCAAAGCAATATGTTACTCTGTTATACAACATAAATAGTAATTACCTTGGGGTTTTGTATTGCCATTTCAGAGTGAGGGGTTTCCATTCCTGTCCCATCACTGGTTGACCCTGCTCCTCTTATTTCTTTTTTGGACTCCAGCCTGAAGTGGCAAGTGAAGACTGCTTTATGTGCAAATGTGGCACAAAGGCAGGTACAGGGCAACTTTGTTTCTGCACTCTCTGGCGACCCTCTTCCTCCTCCTCCTCTCAGGATGCCCGGGCCAGCTGTGGCTGAGCCGGGAGTGTGCGCACGCATGGGGAGACCATCCTCAAGCGAGCGCCAATGCTCAGGAAAGGCACCTGCGGGGCAGGCAGTGGCTCATTTAAGGAGGGTCTCTCCGTGCATGCGCACACTCCTGGCTCATCCACAGCCGACCAGGGGGCTATGAGAGGAGGGGGAGCGGAGGAGAGTGCAGGAGCAAAGCTGCCCTGTACCTGCCTTCATGCCACATTTGTGCGTACGGCAGCCTTCACTTCCTGCCACTTCGGGCTGGAGTCCAAAAAAGAAATGAGGGGCTGGACCAACCAGTCCTGGAACAGGGAGCCGTGGCAGAGGGCCCAAAGAGCCGCTTGTCGCTCTGGAGCCATGGGTTGTCAACCCCTGTACTAGAGGGGAAAAAATGGTAGGCAAAGAAGGAGAGGCATATAGGCAATTGGGGTGAGAATGGTGTACTCTGGGAAGTACCCTAGGACTAGGGTTACATCTGGCATTGCTCCTCCATTATATGTTCTTACCTGGATTATCTGAGTCACAGGACCAGTTGATGCTTGGCCGGTTACAGCTGATGTCTGGACTGGTTTGGTCTGCACAACAGACATCATTTTTCCCAAATTGGAAATCTGCTCCCCCAGAAAGAAAGAGAGAAAGTCTGCTTTAAGACTCCTTCTAATATAAAGGGACATGGTCCCCTTCCTCTAATTCACTCAGCAATGACTTGACCAGTAAAATATCCAGCAATCATTTATGAGTAGCCTGTTAAATGAGAGCATCTGCTGAGCATTACATAAAAAAGCCGAGGGCTCACTCAAAATGCTCACTTGTATGAAGAACAAGTTGACAGAAAAAAACCCTCCATTTCCAGCATCCTCTCTTAAACCCCTATCAAAAGAATTATGCTTACCAATGCACTTCCTCCAGGCACGGAAATAGGGCTTTTCACCAATGTGATGGTCTTCGTTACTCCACCCACTACGGTTGTCATCACCTGGGCCTGCTGTGCTACAGTGACCGTGCCTGATTTGTGCACGGTGATGATGGGCCTGGTAGGTGTGTTAGTGGTGGATGAAGAGACTGAGGTGCCCACCTGAGCAGCTGCTGTCTTCAGCATGCGGGTGGCTGGGTTGCTCACCTGCTTGTTAAACAAGATCAGTATTTAAAAAAGAGCATCTTATAAGTGTCTGTGGAGGCAATATGAATTCTAACACTTTTTTATTACAGATAGAACATGGTCTAACAAATGTAAATCTAGGATCCAAAGTGTTTGTCCTATCCCTTTTGTCATGTACTAATTCCAAAAAAACTGATGACTTATTCATACTATGGGAATATTACTTCTGAGCCCAATTCAAGGTTTTGGTTATCATCTTTGAAATGTTTCATAGTACAGGTCAGGTTAACTGAGGAACTGCCTTGTCTCAATGGGATCAGCCCATCCCACTTGACCAGGCAGAAGGGGCATTGTACAATCTCTATTGGTCAGTTTCAGCTCAAAATGTGTGGAAGAAGAGCATTTTCTGCTGTGGCCCCCGTTCTTGGAAATAACGGGGTGAGGCCTTGCTTAAGATGAGGCCTGTCCCCACTGTGTTGGTACCCTGGAAGGGCTTGAAACCTGACTCTGCCGATTTAGCTGAACTTCATGGGGATGCTCGTCATTGGAGGTGGTTGGTGTATTGAATGAGAAGAGATTGCCCCCAAACCGATTTTGCCTTTCTGCCTCTTGCCTTTGAATTTAATAACTTTCATGTTAATATTTTCTGTATTTATGATTTTGTAAGATGTCCCAAGTCGCTTTTCAGAGTGAGATGGGAGAAATTTAATGAAGCAAAGAAACAAATATGCCATCGATACTCACCATGACTGGAGAAGAAGCAACTTTAACTGTGGTGGGTAATGTGGTGGTGCCTGGGGACACTGCAACAGTCTTAACTATGGTAGTACCAGCAGGCATGCTTAACATAGTGGGGGCTGAGGACGGTGGAATTTTCTGAGTGGCTGCAGCAGCAGCTGCCAGAGCTGCCATGCCACTCATCTGGGAGCTGCTACCAATCACCTAAGGAAAAAAGTCAATGAGTTAATATCACTAGGATTCCATTGAAATAACAATGACAATGTGTTAATGACATAGACAGACAAGACAGGATGAGATGTGATGAATTCCTTCTTTCAGCACAGGTCCCCATCATTCCTGCCGCCACTTACCGTCCCTTGAGCGCTCTGTGTGGGTACCACCATGCGTACCCCAGCTGGCAAAGAAGTCACGGTCATTGGGCCTTTCCCAGCTTGTCCTGCTGACCGCACTGTTACCAGTGGTGCTCCTGTGGTAGCTTGTGGGCCAGTGACCTTTAGCACAGCTGGAACAGCTGCAGAAAGAAAATAAGCAGGTGAAATTTTAGATTACATGCACATTAGGGCTGTGTGTACCAAAATGTTTCAGAAGTACTGTTGGCTTCATATAAACAGAGCATTTATTAATTATTCAAGTAGTCTGTCTTTTTTCCAGCTTTCCAAAGTGGCAGTTGCTTTAAGAATTACATTATGACTTGACAGAAACCACAAAATGGCAAATGATGTCTAAAACAACACTTCTAAATTAATTTTGATGTGTGTGCATCAAAAATATAGATTTCTACCTATTCCAGGTATGGGGTTCCAAAAACGCTATCCTAACAAAATGCAGTTAATTTGGAAACTACATTTTTTTAATTGACCCATGCCCTTGGCAGGATAGAACATCAGTAGTAAGCAAAATGCTCCAAATTCTAAACAGCTATTCAAATAGTACCGCTACGAGCATGAAACACTTCTGGAATTGCTGGAACATCCTATTTTAAGTTTAAAATCTTTTCCCTTTGAAACATTTGCAGATTACACAATGCATCATAAGGATAGCTCATCTTTTTCCTCTTACGGAAAAATGTAAAAAACACTCAGCTGTGTGGCTTTGAATTTTGGGAACGCACAAGTAGAAAAATAAAGGATTGTGAGAATATTTGTTATAATATGAACCTGAAAGTATACTGTGTTCAGTGGAGCAACTCCACTCTATTTACTTTGTTCCCTGCTAAAAAGAAATAAATTCTTTTAAGATAAGAAAAAGAATTTCAGAAGACTAACATTAAGGAAAAAAATCGCCATGTAACAGATGTCCTCCCCCACCCCCCAACTTTGGAAAACTGAAGGTGGTGCTCTTACTAAGCAGGGCTCCTGCTAAGAAGGAAGCTCAGACTTCAAGGGCTGTATATAATTAGCCCAGCTTTTGAAAGGAGTAAATTTTGACTGGAAAATTAAAAAAACTTTTCCCTTACTTTGTGGACGAGGAGTAGCAATGGCAGCTGCTGGAGGCGGCCCTGGCATTGGGCTTGTAGGCACAGTAGGAAGCACCTGGATGGTTGTTGTGGTTGGTGGGGCAGGAGCAGCAGCAGCAGCAGCAGCAGCAGCAGTGGCCGCAGCGACAGCTGTGGTCTGTGGCAGCAGGGTGATACCCATTTGTGCCAGAGGCTGCACGGCAGTGACAGGTGCGGCAGCAGCAGGGGCAGGGCTCTTGGGGGGATTGACAGGCACTGAGGGCACAGGATTAGTAGCTGGCGAGGAGGCAGCTGGGATGTCGTATTTCTGCAGTTGGAGTAAGTAAGTATCCGCAGTTGGGACAGAACCCCAGCTCACTTCCAAAGAGTTGGTATTGGCACGAACCAGCTGAACCCGTGAAGGGGGTGGAGGTTTTTCTGTGGGCAAAAGAGAACAAGGGTAGATGGTATTAGGAAAATTGCCCAACTGTTAATTGTCGTGAGAGCACAAACTCCCACATTCCAGAGAAAACAAGTTTTCCATACCATTTAAAACACATATTTGAAAGGATACCCATTAGATTTCCCCCCACCCCGAAGGTACTGTCACACAATATGACACCAAAACATTGCTGTTTCCTCCCCAAACATCTTTTTTTAAAACTTCTTTTGATGGGGTGATAAAGTACCATTTGAGGTTCTAACTGCCCACCACTTTAACTTCCACAAAATGCCTTGCCTAAACATGTTTTAAAACCAGGAAAAATAACTTTTCCTTCTGCTTTCTAAAAAGCTTGAGACTGAGAAACTTGCAGTGCTACCATTTCATAGACAAAAACAAACAAACAAAAAAATCCACCAGAAAACCAAGGAAGAGATACTTATGGAATCTTCTACAATCATTATCAAAATATTTAGTTCAAAAGTTACTTATGGAAACATGATATGAAACTCATACAATCTCAACAGGGTCTAGTTTAGTTCTACTGTTGGATCCTATTTTAATTTAGATACCCTGCTTACTTTTTGTGGGATGAGGAGAACAATCAATGTAACACTGGTATTATCCATAGTGCACTTAATATTCACTGCCTTGAATTACTATAAAGTAATAAAGGCAATATAAAAAAATGTAATAAAATTAGGAGAATCCAAACAGCATGAGCATATCATGGGACTTAACAGACGTCATAGAAGCCTGAGTAATATATAAATAGGTAGATAGTATCCCCACTGCAGTACCTCTACCTAGCCTTCTTACCAGTCTCAAGATACCAGAGATCCTTGCAGCAAACCTGGTTGTTCCAGGCTTTACGGTAGCCATCACGGCCACTCCAGATGTACAAGCGGGTATTAATGGCCACGGCACAATGCCCTGCACGTGCCCGTGGAGTATTCTCTTCCAGTGTATCCATCAGAATGGGCTCCCAAGCCATGGAGTCTGCATTGATAAATATATGCATAAAAGGTCAGGCTTGTTAGTAGAATACAGAGGAACTAAGGTTAAAAGAGGCACTGCCTTTATATCCTCACATACCTAAGTTGAGGCAGGCCAGAGTATTTGTGCATTTCCATTCCTTTTCATGTGTAGCCACTTTGACATCATCCATAACAAGAGGCACCCAGCCACCAAATACATACATTCTACCAAAGAAAGAACCAACAAAAATTAAAATTTGGATGAGAAATCAGTCTGATACATGTCAGGATAGGAGCGGAACTTACTTGTTCCCAATGGTTGTGGCTGAATGCAGACTACGAGGGAGTGGAGCCACCCCTCTCAGGTTAGGCTTGTTCCACATCAAAGAATCTAGAGGAAGAAACCACACCAAAGGTCATTGTTTCCAAAAGGTCCAGCTCTCAGTCTTCCAAGACACAGTACACATACAAACTGGCTAGTGCTTCGATAGAAATAAAATTGTTCTGTCCTAGGACCTGTTCTATCTAAAAGCCTGTTTAAAATCTGTCCCCACTCAACTTTGTTGCTTTTACCGATATCAAGTGTCCAAAGATCACCAAGACGACAACCACTCATGCCCCCGTATATGACCAGTTTGGATTTTTTGTTGTCTTTTTCTGTGTAGACCACAGCAGTATGGGATTCTCGTGGTGGAGGCAATACACCATAGGTGATGGGAATGTCCCAGGACCCCACACCAGATCCTGGCCGCAGCTCCAAGGTATAGAGGTCATTTAGGTACCTGTAAGAGAGAGAGACAGAGAGAGAAAACATGTGAAAGCCCGGTGAGAAATTGTAGCACTTGTTTTTTGCTGTTTGTTTTTGATACCACTTGGGATATTTTCTTAAAAACTGGAGAAAAGGTAAAAGAAAAGGGAACATGACTCATTATAACATTATACAAAACCTGTTTCTTTTGATCTAAACTGGCAAAAAGTCATTGTACCTGGACTGCAGAAAACCATCATATCAATGTACCTGGGAATGTTATTCTTAGGATCTTCACTGTCATTGGCCAATCCCCCAAAAAGGTAACATTTGTTGCCCACCAACGAGAAGCTGTGGCCAAGGCGTGGACATGGTGTGGACCCATTCTTGGGCATCTTGGCCTTGAGTCTCTTCCATTCCCAACGGCTGGCCTACAATAATAAAGGATCAAATTATTATTAACCTAAGCAAGCAATGCAAATTAAGATAAAGAACTAAGCTGGCAAGCACTCACCTGCAATTCATACAGATCATTGCTGTACTTGCCATATTCAACCATTCCACCAAATACCAGGAGACGGGTCCCATCACAAACAAAACCATATGCAGCGCAACCAGGTGGAATGTCTCCACGCACAGCTGGGATGAACCACTGGTTTGTAGCTGGAAAAAAAGAAAGAAATATGAAGGACAGCTTACATTAAAATACAATAGAGCTTCATGTGACAACATTCTGGAAGCAACTCAGGGCTGGACAATTGGGATTGCACTCTTTCTCTCTTAACTGATATGTTATCAAATAAAGCTCTACAAAAAATGGAATTACACACTCACTTCAGAAGCTATTTTTTGTGGTGAAAATGAGATTGCCATCATTTCATCATCATCATTGCAATTATATTATTTGTTCTCTCAACTAACAATTCCGTTTTACACCGGATGCTTCAAAAAAAATGGTAGTTTTTCAGGATAGCTATAATCTAAACTGAGAGAGCATAAAATAAAGGAAGCAGCCTGTGATAGTAAAGGATGTCAGAGAAAAGAAAACCTTCCTGCTCTGGAACAACTGTCTGGATTAATGCAGCAGATAGCAGTAAGAGGCATGGGTGCTGAACTGTTTACAATGAGCAGGCAAGAGGAAGCAACCTATCAGGAGATGAGAGATGAGGCAGCTGCCAATCAGGAAGCCGAGACCCACCCACTTCTGTCCAGCTCTAGTTACATAGTAAGAGGACTCCGAACCATAGGATATCTAGATGCTGTAGCTGACACTAAAAGTGGAGGAGGAAGGCATAATCCCTTCTGCAAGTGCTTGCCAGCCAACATACTGCTTCATTCCACATATTTATTCTTGGATTTAACTAGTTATAGTCCCTTCTGTTTAGCCAGCATTGCACTGGATTTTGACAGGCCTCCCAATCTAGCACTTCTACTTCAGATTTTTTTGGGGGGGCAAGTACTTGGCTTGTTAGTTACTAAAATATACTTTCATATTGTTTGACTCAAGGGCTGTATTTGCAGCAACATAGCAGTGGCATGAAAGCACTAAAGATACAAAAAGCAGAAAGCAAAAGAATCTATACCGTATGATATTGAATTCAAGAATGAATTTTCCAAGAGGGAAACTTTTACTCATGCAAGAAAAGGAAATGCCAATTTCAAACAAAAGTTAAAAATTATCTGAATACTTTTGTTAAAGAGAATTTTTGTTTTGACTTTCTTAAAACTTTTTGAGTTTGAATTTTTTTTTCAGAATACACAATGAGCCTGAACTTATTATGCCTTTGCTCACTTATGTCTATTTTAAAAGTTCCATAGTTTAAAAATATGATTAGGTCTCAATGACATACAAGGGTTAATGAGTTCATTAACAATGTGAAAACCTGAATTCTTCCATTTAATCCTCAAAGTTAATATCGTCATTTGTAGCTATCTTCTGTAACCTTACATTGGCAAGGCTACTTTTACCATTTCCATTACTGACAGTATATGTCTTAACCTTACTGTGGCATGTTACCAAGACTGAAAGCCAGAATGAGACGGGTAAACCAAGTCATCTTTACCAACTAACACTCTTTCTCTAGAAAAACTGTGCTAACTCTACTGTAGAACTGTGGTCTCCTGGAATCTATCCAAAGCAATCTAGATAAAAACCATCAGTCTTGAAACCATCTGTTTAGACCTCCCCTCCTCAACTTTGTAAAGCCTCAACTTTAGAAGCCTCTAATCTTTAATTAAAAATATAAAGGCTAGGGGTGGCATATATCTGCAGGGGCAGAATGTAACTTTTCTAATTGGCACTAGAACTAAACCCACAGTGCTGAATTATTTTAGGCAATTTCAAATCAGAATTGAGACTACAGGAGATGAATAGCTTGGTACTCAAGATAAACTGACCCCCCTCAATTAGCTAGACGGTGAAACGTTCCTTCATTTGCTCCCTACCACAGCATTACTATCAGCCCAGTTCAATTGCATTCTTATGCATCCAAGCCAAAGGGGAAAAAACAGGCAACAAAGAGTTAAAAGCTGTAGCATTCGAAAGTTAAATTTTAGGCGCCAAGTCTTTGGGGAAGAAAAGCTCCTTCTAGCATTGCCCCACCATCTCATCACAAGTGCATTTGAGAGTCCATGACGGAAAATAATGTATTAACACCAGGAGGAGATAAAATTACAATGCCAAGCAAAGTTGCAAAGCTACTCACAAAGCGTCAGGTTAATATGGAAGCGCAAGAACTTTGTGTCCTTAAAGCACCCTGCGCTATGTTCAAAACTGGTTCACGGGCTTCATTGATGGATAGTTCTCTCTATATTTTTTTCCCGCTATCAAGCTGGCAGAGATCTTTCTCTTTTTGCCAACTATTCATTCCTCCACCTCCCACATTGTTGTGGGACTGATGATTTGAACTCCTACGGTTTTGACAAAATAATCCTGAGGTACGCTGCTGCTAGTCTGATGGGCATTCCGCAAAAAAACATTGCTTTTATGTCCTTTCTGCAAAAATAAATCAATCCCTACACAAGCCAAGCACAAGCATGTAAATTGGAAAAAGTCTCCAAAGTGAAGGTGCTGGACTCCATCTAATGGAAACTGTTTCAAGGCACATGCCAGTTATTACATTGAGAAGGCTGAAGAAAATTCAAGAGAAACAAGACTTTACCATTGTTTCATCTTTACAGTTCTCTCCTCTATCACTTATGTTTCCATACACCAATCACTTTGAGAAAAATGAAAGCAGTTAAACAGATGTAATGAGTCTTATAGAAACTTGCTAATATACAACAGTAGTTGCAGATACTTTTTTTTTCTATACAAGAGATATTGGGAGATCATATGTTCATGGAAGAACTAAATTACTCTGGGACCAATTATAGACAATCTTTGCCCAATGGACACAAATGGGATAATGCCCTGGTCCTACCCTAAATACCCTAAATACTTTTGCCCGTTCAGGCCCCCCCTTACCTGTATTATAGACATGCAACTCATCCACGATGCCCTCATTGCCCCCTCCGAAGACCACAATCAGCTCTTTGATTGCCACAGCTCTGTGTCCATGTCGGGGCCGAGGCACAGGGCCTGACCACCCAATCACACGTTTCCAGCGGGGCTGCAGCAGCCCTGCAGTGGCCCCACCACCTGTTGGGGAGCCCCCACTAGGGACAACAGGAGAGGCCATAGAAAGCACCTCCTAACTCTCCGTAAGTATCCTTTCTAGCAATCAGTCCTCTAAAACAGCAGAGTTGTAAGGGCTTCCTTATCAGTTTCTGCTTCCCAAGCGGTGGTTCAAAAAAGAGCCCCCCAAGCCACATGCACTCTACCTCTTTCGAGGTAAGGCTGTTCGTGGAAGCAACACCAGATTTACTTTCTTCAGAGGACAAGAGCAAAGCAGTCCTCCACAGTGAGGCAAGACGCCCACGATTCTTCTAACTACCGAGACACCCCCTCACCGCGGGCACCGGGACACAGTCACCTCCTTTTGCTGCAAACAAACTAATTCGGAGTAGTTGTGAAAAAGAAAAGTAAAAAAAAATTAAAATCCTCCCCTCCCCTCCCCCCCAAAAAAAAACTCTTGGCGGGACAAGTAGCTGCCCTTTTTATTTCGTGAGGCGGTCACAGCTTAGAGGCATACCCCGTTGCTGGAAAACTCCTAAGGCTCCCTTTCCGACAATGAGTTTCGATGACCGTAATTCTTCCCCCCCCTCCCGACCGGAATACAGAAATCTCTATGGAGCAGACACCCACCCTTGCAATAAGAGAGGGGGTAATACAAAATTACCCCAATTGCCTCCTGCCTTTTCAAAACCAACACCAATTCCCCCTGCGAGGGAACTACCCCGCGTGGGGCAGTTACTCCTCCCCCCTCGTAACAGGGCCCCTCTGCCGCCCCCCTCCGGCCCCCGCTCAGAGCCCGGCCCTGGGAGCCGCCATCTTGTGTTGCCCGGACGGAAAATGGCGGCCGCAGAGAGGGAGAAGCCGCCTCCCCCTCGTCCCCCCACCCGGCGCGTCTTCCCCGCTGATCCTGCCTACTCCCCAGCCCGGAATTCTAAGCCAGGGCGCTGTCCCTCCGGCTTCCAAGCGCAACGGGCAGCTCGATCCAGCCCCGCTGTACGGCACCGATGGGCAAGGTACGGGCTCCAGGCGCCTTCACGCCGCCCTGGGAGCCGCCATCTTGCGCCTGTGAGGAGTCTCTCTTCCTCGGCAGCGCCTGAAGGCGGAGCCAGAACGAGGCCTCTGTACGGAACCCCTCCCACCAGGGCGCCGCCATTTTCGGTGGGCAGGGCTGCTGGGCACCGCCATGTTGGGGGACCGCCAAGTCTCCTTTTTCCTTTTGCGATGCGTACGGAGGGGAAATTCTGGGCCAGTTTCACCGCACTTTTTTTTATTATTGTTATTATTCGAAGCTCAACACGATTGTCAGCGTCTTTTCCGGCTGTAAGCTGTGTAAACTCTCCGAATGTTATGTGTGTGTTGCCATTTTGAATACAAAACTCCGCCCCTCTTGCATTTTAAAAAAATCTGCTCCACCAATAATCGGCCTCGCCGCTAGTACCGGCCACGAGTGCTTTGGGGAGGTGCGATAGGCCTCCACCTCTCAGCAAGTGCTTCACTGCATAGCAACGCTTATGGGCGCCGCCATCTTTGGGGATAAAAATTGACGCTGCGTTCGTTTCGTGGATGCACGTGAATAATATTTATTGGATGTTCGCGTGTCATCCAGCGGTTAAGACGGTACCCATGACCCACTCATGCTCAGTAATGCACCTGCATCTTATTTTCCGCAAAAGCGATCTTGATTTCTATAAATATTTCTGGTCCTGAATCTTATCCTGAATTAAAGGAAATAAATAACACGATTCGGAATTAGGCAGTTTTGTATAATATTGGGAATGATGATAAAATTCAGGTTTCATGCTTTCCTGGAAGCTGCCATTTTGGATCCTCCCCTTTGCTATTACTATCCCAAAATTTAAAAAAAAAAAACCCACACAAATGTCCCATTAAGTTCCCGGATGTTTTTCCCTCCCTTTCGAGCATTAAAATGGCGTCCTTCTCCAATGCCCGTATGTCGCCGCCCTGTGTTATGTGAGATTCAATATGGCGATTCTTATATTCCCGGATGGTGCGGACATATACGCATTCAAGATGGCTGCCTCATAAATACCCGGATGTGCCGAACTCTCGGCAAAAAACGGCTTCGTTAAAATCAAGACTTCCGTGTTACGTTCCTGGTGTATTTTCCCGATTAAACCAAATTTTATTAAATCACCGGATAATAGAAATACACAATCGCTTGCCCTATATGCGAATTGCTATACAGCCCCAAAATGGCGCTAGTTGAAATCTCTAGCGGGTGGTGTGACCGAAAAAGCAACCAAGATGGCGAACGCTGTACGTATCGGGAATCAAGATGGCGCTAACGGGCTCAATTACCCGGATGTTGAAGACAGGAACTGACAATGACGCATTGGGAATAAATAACAAGCGGGCTGTCGTGATGCCGGTTTTTCAGCATAACCAAAACCGTTGATCGAAGGAGCTGCAAGGATTGGTTTACTCAAGTTGGCGGTACAGATGTTCAGTTACCAAAACACGGATCCGTTAGGAGGTTTATTTAAATTATCGCTGGCGAATTTCTCTTGAATGGAGAAAGATGCTATTACTAGAACATATAGACATTAAAATAACACGATTTTAGCAACTACTCTAGTGTCTCTCTGGGACTCGCCGGTCTCAATGCGCAGGCGCAGAAACCTCTCGCTGATAGGCCCTTCCCGGCTGCATCTGGGAAGACCCGGATGTGTTGGGTCTGGCCGCCCGCGATAAGAAAGCGGTCTTTCTTTGCCTGTATCGCTTGCTTCCTGACTTGCAGTTGTCTTCGGCTCTGCACACGTTGGCCTAACAATAAACCCCCGTGAATCCCGAAGGATTCATTTTGGAGTCTACCTGGAGAGGGTTACGTTGCGCTGAAACCAGTTAAACTTGCCCAATAGGTATCAGCCTAGTCCTCTGCATGGTTACTCGGAAGTTCAATGGGGCTTTTGTCTAAGTCAAATCAATTCAGAGTTGCAAGCTTTGCATATTGACACTTATATAGTACTGTAGGATTTTGGCGTGGAACAGTAATTTAGACATACTGCTGCCTTTGTAGATCGAGGAAAAATACCCGTATTTTGAATAGTCTCCTGTTTTATTTTTCATCATTGTTTCTCATCATTCAACACTTAGTTTCCCAAAGGTAGGGGCTTTTTCGGTTTTATATATTTATAAAATATATAAGATATATATATATATATAAGATATATATATATATCCCCAACTTGTTTTTCTGTTCTGTACATCGGTAATAAATTGCAGCAGACCTGTGCTTTTCACAAGGGTAAGTTAAATTCCTACCTAGCATTCACGGGATGGGAAGATAGTGCGAAATCTCTAAAATTGAAAATAAGTGATTTATGTACTGTAAATAGATGAAACAAGATCATGAAGTTTTGCTATTTTTTTTTTTTTTTGCTGAAGGTATAAGTACCAAATCAATATATATTTATGATCAGAAGGTACAATACCTGGAGAGAAATAGGGACCCATACCTTATGAGTTCAAAATAAATAGTTATTTTGCTTTGTAAATTGAATTCAGGAGTTTTTCTTCCATAATAATAAGTCTTTTTGTGTTTTTTTCTGTTTCATTTGCAATTTCCCCTCCCCCCCATCCATACAGAGTATCTTTCTTTAGTATATACTACTACTAAAGCTCTTGTTTGATTTTTTTTTTAATTTTCATTGGGCAAATTTTTTAATCAGTGTATCTCAAATTGGCTAATTTACAGAATGCACCCAAAATCTGGGACCCATGACACTTGTGGGATTGAAATTTGGCAAAATTTTGGCAGCTTCAGTGGTGCTGTGTGGTCATGCTGGTGTGGTCAGCTGCAGTCATATAATTGTCCAAAATGAAAGATCAACACTAAGATTCAGAATATAACATATTTTTAAAAATAATTTTAAACAACAGAAAAAGCACATGGGAACAAGGATTGGGCTAAATTATAAAGATTTCAAAATTGATTCATTTCAACCCCACCATCATGCAAAAGCTTTTTATACCTTTGATTGCTTTTATTGTCACATTTTTTTCTATTTGTGTTTCTGTTTTATAAAGAGATTGTGACAGAAGATTGCAAATTGTACCTTTGAAAAGATTAGGAAACCAAGTCGGATGGCCCAATACAGCTTTGTTAAACATGTTTTGATTAATGCAATTCCCTTTAACCTGGTTGGCCATATTTTCTTTTCCTGCTTTATGCCTGCACTAATATTTTATCATGGTTTATGCTTATGCACAGTATAATGTCTAAATAAAAACATAATGCCAACACAAGAATTTCTCAGATAATTTGCCTTTCTTCTTTTCTCCATACTGAAATATTAGTTTTCCCCCTTTTAAATATTATGCTTTTTTGGGTTTCCTCTTCAAATTTGAAAAGCACCCATCTGAAGGTATGGGTGACTGCTAAGTATGTGACATCTAGCATGAAAACTGCAGGGAGAAACTATTGCAGATTGCTGTAGGTACTCATCCATTACTGTAGGCAAATACATTGCTGTTTTCACATCAAGTTATGCTATGTGTCATTACTTTAACATGAGTTGTATTGGTTACCCATTTCTTATAGGAAAAATGCCACAGTATATAACTGATTTTGGTTCCAAAATTAGGTGCTATTCAAAGTGTTAGTCATTACCTAGAGACCGCTTCATGGCAATTTGAGAGATTATCTCCAATTGTTTTTGGCCACCTGGTATGCTCAGGCAGGGTAGGTGTCTGCTCCAGGTCTCTTCAATTAAATGCTATCATCTTGTGGGATTATGAAAGTGTGCCTTCTTCTCTTTGGAGAAGATTTCTCTCCTAGTCACTGGGAGTTGGGTGTCATATAAATGTAATCAATCAACAGTTTTTCGGAAGTCCCTTAAGACCTGACTGTGCTCCTAGGCCTGGAGTTAGGGTGATTGCGTTTTAATTATATATACTTGATACTTTGTCAATTCCTCAAGGTATTTTAGTTGGGTGGCCTTAGTGCTCTAGCTGCACTGAAATTTTGCTGAGATTTTTCTATGGATATGTGATATATTTTAGTGAAAACAGAGGAATTATTTTTTTTTCTTCAGCTGAAATATCATGGGCTTTTGATCCCTGATATGTTGCAGAAGAAAATAGTTCTTACACACCCATGATGCCACTGAAAAAGGGTACATATGTATAAATAGTTTATTAGGTATGAAGTAATTGTACTTTTGCCTTGTGGTCTGCCAAATTTTATTATCGTTTTTTGTCACATCACTTTCAAGTGTGTACTTTACCTGAGAATATTTTGAGATTAATTTCCCTGTACAAGGCTTTATTTCCTTAACCAGAGCATTTAAAAAAATATTTATATCCCATGAGCAACAAGATTTTAGAAACTGGCAACAGATCTGCTTTGCAAAATACAAGTCCACTGAAGATAATTTAATATACAGTTTAGCATTACTGGGACAATAATTGTGATTGGTTTTTTTTCCTAATATATAGGAGTCAGATATTGAAGTATTAAAATAAATGGCAACCATTCCTTGTTTGAGACGTATAGGCTAGAAAAAGCCATGAATAGAAATGGAAAGATTAAGTTTACAGTCCTGTAAAGTAGGGCTCCAGCAGGTCTGAAATCACAGGTTATATTGGTAGGGGAAAGACAAGACAAAGCACTAATTGACATTAGAAAGGTGAAATGGAGGTTTGGAAGAACTGGAAGTTCTAATGGTAATTCAAGGAGCCTAAAAAGGCTATGGCAAATCAATTCCAGGCTTTCTTGAATGAAGCTGATTTTCCAGATCCCTTTCCGTTTCAGACCTAGCTATGGAATAGGAACTGCCTTATTATGGGGGTCATCATTTTGGTGCCAGGTGAAAACCTTTGAATCTTCCTAGCTTTTTAATTGTTTCAGAATTGAGAATGTATCTCAATTCTCATTAATTCATTTCCTATAGCCAGCCAGTCAATGACTCTAAGCAGTTTGCAATTCAAAAAAATACAATTAAGCCACTAAAATCTGAAAACAATAAATAAACAAAAACATTTAAAATAAACATACATAACACCTGAGATATTTGACCAGTTAGCAATGCAGCTGGGAAACAGGGCCCTTGACACATTCAGCACCCCAGGCTCAGGAATAGCCAGGTTTATAGGGGCTTACAAAAACTGTCAGAGCCATTCAAAGGGAGAATGTTCCATAAAGCAGGGGCCACTGTTGGAAAAGCCCGTTTTCTAGGCCCCACCATCCGACATTCTTTGGCTGATGGGATCTGGATATTGTTTTAGTTTTTGAATAATAGCTGTCTAGTTTATGTGATGTTTATAGTTCATTTTATGTTTTTATTTAAATTGCATTTTACTGTGTTTTATTATACATTTCCCAGAGAGCGCCAACTATTGGCTGGTTCATATATAATAAATAGTGAAATGTTTTAAAAATTAAAACATGTAATCCAGTGGTGGGATTCAAATTTTTTTACTACTGGTTCTGTGGGCGTGGCTTGGTGGGCGTGGCAGGGGAAGGATATTGTAAAATCTCCATTCCCTCCCGACTCCAGGGGAAAGTTACTGCAAAATCCCCATTTCCTCCCGATCAGCTGGGACTCAATAGATGGGGGTGGGGCTAGTCAGAGGTGGTATTTACCGGTTCTCTGAACTACTCAAAATTTCCAGTACCGGTTCTCCAGAACTGGCCAGAACCTGCTGAATACCACCTCTGATGTAATCATTTTTTTTGCAAAATACTTTGGAATTCTTTTACTAATTCATTTTTAACTTTAAATTGGCTCCTCAAAGCACTGATTCCCCCCGCATTTTTAATTTTCCATACAAATGTGCAATATTCATGTAAATACCATATTTGAAATATACATTTTTGGATTGCAATTTAGAAAATGTGTAATAGTCATAATTTAATCTTGGAAGTTTCTATATATTATGTAGTTGTCCTTATGAAGACATTGGTTCCTATAGATACATGCAATACTATGGTTAACTTTCTCACCATAGTAATAGATTGCTTGGTCTCTCTTTTTACATCCCCCTAAGGATAGTGTGATTTATTGTCACAGAGTGGGTTTGCAATAATACACAAGGTTATTATATATTTGCCTAGTTTATAGATCATGGTATACATGAAACAAATTACAATAGCATGATTCATCTATGTTTCAGTATGGTGTACAAACCTGGGTACTTGGGTGAGTCAGTAAATCATTGTTCAGTGAATTATGAATAAGTGTGTTACGCAAACACAGCCTCAGTAGTATTCATTCAAATCAAGGTTGATTGTGCAAGGATGATCTTCTCTTAGAAGTCCATGACTTATTCTACTTTTCCTATACCTCCTTCTGCCAATTTTATCTTGCATTGTCCCTCCACTATCAAATGTTTTGAACCTTTGTTCAATCATTCTCTAACTCTTGAGTGTTGTTTATGTTGGGTAGGTAGGGGAAAGCAGGTTGGTTATGAAGAGACATCCATGTCTCAAAAATTACAATTGATGAAAAAGAACAGAACATCTTTATTGTGTTCATTGACCAGAATAGTATATACTTTTGTAATAGCGTTTGCTGACCTCAAATGGAACTATATGAAAACTTCTGATTAAATTAGGATAAACTAAAATTTAGGAATAAAATGCAACTATTAAAGTGCTAAGAATTTAAGTGTTATAATCACTAAATCATAATATTACTTTACCAAGATAAAGGCAAAAATAAAAATATACCAAGTTATTGTTTTAGATCAGAGTACGTTTTTCTTTTATATCTTGGTAAATAATGTAAAATAATATAAAAATTTTCAAATGAAATGAAATACAGGTGATGAATTTCATCATAATGTTAGCAGTACAGGAACACATGATCTGTGATTTCAACTGCTCTGGAATGGCAGGGACAAAGCCTCTCTTTGAAGTGAATTTGTTGGTATCTTCCTTTCAATGAGAGGATGAAAATAGTGTTGAATTACGCTGGTGTAAACAAGTTTATTTAGGGAGGGACATTATATTGATGTTCACACTGTCAGGAGAAGGGATGCTCCCAGCATTCTCTCTCTGCAAATCAATATGTTAATTGCTTTTGGGCAATTTTTTTTAGCTTTGGGGAAACCCAAAGAATTCAGGGCTGTTTTAGATGCATCATTATTTTATAATTTTGCTTC